AACTTTTCAATTGAGAGTATTAGAGCTTTGTGCCTAAGGGAAGCTCTCTGTGAGTGAAAAGGATCTATGCCATTTTGAGAATACAGTTTGTCTGAGGAAGTTCTCAAAGTGATAGAGTGCTCTTGCCTGGTCTTGTGAATAGGAGAAGCTCGCGTTTTGTGTGTCAAAGGTTGGAGCGGTTCTCTTCAAGTTGGCTGAGCAGGTTCTTCCGTTCGTTTGTCGAAGGAAGGTGTTTTCTATTCTTTGCTTATTTTGATTATCTGATTGTAATCTGCAAACTATATTTTTAGTGAAAAAGGTTAATCACTATTTATAGTGATTAACGACTGGACGTAGAATCTTTTGATTCGAACCAGGATAAAAATTATGTGTTGATTTTCTTGATCCCTAAACTCTTAGCACATATTTTAACTTGTGTTGTGATCGTTACACGCTTTCCGCTATCTATATTTTATTCCGCTGCGCGACTCTATAACGGTACCGATTGTTCCGACAGCCACCACCAAGAGCTCGAACGCAAACAATGTGTTGCCACATCCTTGCCGAAGATCTTATGGTTGGTGCACTTGTCACGAAGGTTGTCGTTGTCCATGGATAGATCGTCTCGACAAGCAGGCGACGGAAATGGCGGTGGCCTTGTCCCCACCGATGAGCTCACAAATAACAAATCTAAAAAAGAAACTAAGAATGAAGAAAGTAGGAAAAGGGAAAAGAGGTACCTGGAAGAGAACAATATCGTTTTTGGCCGACAGATAATGTCTCAAATCTAAGGAGACTCATTTATCAACAACCACATAAACCTCAGAGCTCTAGATTTCCGCAAAAAATGAAAGCTAATGAGCACAACAACAAAAAGGAAAAAATAAAACCTCCAACAACTTAAGCCTAATAAAGGATAAATACATAATTTTATTTTCTTAACGAATAACGGATACCTACAGATACAAATAGTATGATATCTGAACCCGACCCATTAATAAACGAATATTAAATTATTCGTTACCCATTACCTGGAGATATCTATTACCCAGAGATATCTATTACCCACAAATATCAATTACCCATAATAAATTTTATTCATAGTTGGATTATTTTTCATCATAGTCTATGATTATATATGAAGTTTATTTATTAGTGTCTACCACATAAATATCTTAGTCTCATAGGGTTTAAATTATGATGATTAAGACTTCATAAGTTTATTACAATTATGGAACACATTTATGTCTTTATTGAATGTATTAAATTTATTTCGATCCTTAATTTTCTAATCCACTTATAATCATTCTAACTTTTACGTGATTTTATTCATTAACCATATAAATTAATATCCTTTAAGTGTAATTATGAATTTATATTCAAAAGTGTTAAATAATGAAAAAAACATCAAATATATCATTAATTAGTTTTAGTGAAAATTACTTTAGAGGTAATTATCAATTAATTGATAATTTTATATAGGAAATGTTGTTCCATGCCTTTTAACACGTGAATATTTTTCACTTGAAAAGAAAAATTACAAATATACTTTTATTGTATGGTCGAAGTTGACCAAATAATATAAAATAAACCCACCACTTAAGAAGTCAAAGTAAAATATATATATATATATATATATATATTAAATTACTAGAAATTATATTAAACAGCATAAAATAACTGAAATAATTCTAGATTAATGAATGTTGATATTTCAAAAATTATTTAATTTTAGATATAATTGAGAAAAGTTGACGGTGTGTCCAAAACAAAACTAGCTGCAAGATGTAAACCAATGGGAGTGTCTTAGTGTCGATTCAGTTTCATCTCATCCACACAATAATAGTACCAATATCTTCAAAAAAAAAAGTAGAAATAGTATTGGGAATTGTAACACAGTTCAACGTAACACTCTTTTGATTCCACAATTCTTCTTCTGGACCTGCGATTCTCGCAATCATGGCCACCGTGCAACTCCAATCCCTAACCCTCACTCGCTCCTCCACACTCCCTTCCCTCACCTCTCCACCGATTCCCGTCACCGCCCGCCTCAACTCCGCTGCGCTGCCGCGCTACTCTGGCCTCCGGCTCCGAGCCACCGTTGGAACCGTTTTATCGACTCGCGCCGCTTCGAGAACCGCTCCTCGCGGCGGACGCATCGCTTGTGAGGCACAGGATACCGCCATAGAAGGTTACGTTTCGATTTCGTTGCGAAGATTTGTTATTTAGGTTCTGTGCGAGTTTTGTGATGTCGTTTTGATTTGTTAGATGTTTTATGAAATTTCCTTTGCGCTATGCGGATGTGATAGAATGATTGAATTATTCCAAAGATTATGCTAATTATTTAGCCTTTGAGCATTTTGGTGAGTGAAGCTAAAAAAAGTAGAACAGTTTTTTTTTTTTTTTTCATTTGATATCCTTTTCTTCTGTATTCTGATTTTTCTTTGACGCCTAATATGATGTAGATCTGGACTTCTAGTGCTTTGGTTGTTTCTTACAACTGTGCATAGTTTGAAACGTTTCTTACATAATTATCTGTTTTGTGGTGAGAAAAATGGAATAGCTGGAATTGTTTGAAGAGTTTTTCCTTGTATATACATGTACCTGTGTTTTATAACCTAACTATATCGCTATTGGCAACAGGACTAATTTTACGGTGTTAGCGTATCATGCCTGTAGTCATAAATTTAGTGAACAACCGGAACAGAAACCACATCATCATTTAAAGTCACTCTCGCAGGCCTTTTCATTTTCTTCTGTAATGTTTCGCATCGACCCATTACATGTAATGTAAGGTTAAATATTTGCATGAACGTATTATTATAATCAATTCCTTCCCTCTCGGTGAAGTCTCTAACAACCAATCTTGCCTTGAATATTTTCTAATTTATTTCTAGATTTTTTTTTTTTTTGTTTGAGAATGCATTTACAACTGACCATCCTAGAGCCAACAAGTTTATGAACCAAATTTTAGGTATTGTTCAAACGAGGGGATTCATCTCCTCCTTCATGGCATCTAACTTGAGTTTTCTCCTTACATGCTAGAGTAGGCAATAATACACTTAAGGGTTCATCCTGTAACACGTCACTAGCAACTACTTAGGAGAATGCAGTAAGATCTGCATATTCATACCTTTTTTCAAAGCTTTGATTGTTCTCCTTGTTCTAAGACTGACAATACTATAATTATCATTAGCGTGTTTGTCTTCATCGTGTCCGACCCTTCTTCTACAAGTTCATCTAATTCATCCTTCTGTGGAAAGTCAGACGCCATGCCAATCTCTGCCGCAACATTTTCCTTTTTACTATCATGATTAATCCAAGACTCACATCCTGAAACTTTTGACTTATAAGTCATTTTAAAATTTATGTCTATACACATTCTCTATATCATAGAAACATGCATTTAACTACACATGCTTCTAGGTTTGCTTGCCTTATATGAGCATATGCAACAAAGCCAAATATTCTCAGATTATCAAGGTTGGGAGAATGCTTTTGATTAAATTTCCTCAATACGTAATAGTAACAACTTAAGCCTAAAACACCTTGGGAACTCCAATTGGGTTCTCCACCAGGAACTTCCAGCTTTTGAAGTTTTCAAATGTTTCATCTTTAGTTTTATTAGTGTAGACCCACATTGCTATGTTGTTTGGACCTAGTAGACCATCTGGGTATGAATTATTGTAGGACCTAATAGTACTTTGAAGGTTTACTTTTTGGTAGTGTTGAAACAAGACTCCTCTCCGAAGAAAAAAAAATTGCAATCTTTTTTCTTTGCCATACAACCTAAAAATATTTTTAAATTTTTAGTAGTATTTTTTTCATTTTGCCTGTTTGTACTTCATTTGGCTGGTATGGGCATGTTTTACATTTTAGCTTCATCACTTGTCATTTTACTCTATGAGAAGCACGTGGATCTTAATTATCTGCTGCCTTACATTTCCGGAGTATTGTTGCATGTCTTAGTAAAAATACTTGCTAAAGTGAAACACTTTGTATCATTGAATATTGCAGTGAATGCTATTACTGATGCAAATTGGGAATCACTTGTGCTTGAATCCGAGACTCCCGTACTGGTTGAATTCTGGGCCCCATGGTGCGGTCCCTGCCGAATGATCCACCCGATAATCGATGAACTGGCCAAGGAATATGTTGGTAAGCTGAAGTGTTACAAACTCAATACTGATGAGAGCCCTTCAACTGCCAGCCGTTATGGGATTCGAAGTATTCCCACTGTCATTATTTTTAAGAATGGTGAGAAGAAAGATACAGTTATTGGAGCTGTGCCCAAGACAACATTGACCTCAAGCATAGAAAAATTCCTGTGAGCAAATGAAAGTAAAGCTATTTTTCTCGTTAGCTTCCTCTCATCTAAGCCAAATATCAGGTTGGGATTATTTGTTTCTTAAATAACCATTTATGGTCCTGTATAGCTATGGATGCAAACCATATTTTCTGATTTCTTTAGATAATTATAATTAACAATGTGTTGCGTAAATTTGCCATCTATTATAGCTCAACTTAAATCTATTTTGCATCTTGGCTCCTGTTCTCTTCAGTTCTTAACCGTTCACATAAGTGGCTGAAGATTGTGTGGTCACGTGGGGGCTACGAAACAAATTCTCATTAAAATGAGACAAATGTAGTTGAAAAGAAAAATCTTATCAAAATGAGTAATTGAAGATTAGTTAATGAATATTTCATGTCTATATCATAATTTAAAAATGTCGTGTGATAATGCTCACGCAAATTCCCTCAAGGATCTGTCTGTCCATATGATTGACTTGACAATTGTTTCTGTGATTGATGGATGTTTTCACGAGTAAAACCTTTTTGTTGCATAAATTCCATCATTAATGGTAGTTCCTTTGGGTGTACTTTGTAAAATGAAGCCCAAATGTTGGTTGGACTGGGTGGTTACACATTCTTGTCTCAACCAAGGTTGTGGTATCGACCTCCCTTTGGGTGTGAAGTCATAACACTTAGGAGCACATAACACTTTTGTAGATCGATTTAATGCGAAGAGGAATTAATCAAATCCATTAGTCTAGGTTAGGTACGAAGAAAGTGGCACGAGGGTATGTTGCGCCAATGAGTATTTGAAAATGAGAGAAAATATTGAGAAGGAAGTTCAAAAGGTGGTGAGCGAAAACTCTTTTGGTGCTTCAATAATACCATACTGTATTTAAGTTTCTTTCGATTTCGGGTATGTTTGCTAAAAGAGAAAAGAAATAGAGAAATAAGGAAATAAGTTGAAATAAAACAGATAAAAATAAATAAGAGAAAATGAAAGAAAAGAAATTAAAATTTATTTTTAAAGATTACTTTAGAAAGAAAATCAATATTATTTTTTTATTGTATTGGTGTTTTACTATTTATTTTTATTATTGATTACATCATTTTATTATTTTTATTTTTAATATTTTTGCCGATAATTATCATACTAAATGGGGGAAGAGTTTATGAAAGGCATAATAAAAGATGAATTGGATGAGGGAGTGCTGGCGCAAAAAACAAATTGATTGAAAAAAAAAGGTTTAAACCCTTCGTTGGTCCTCAAGTTTGTATGAAAATCTCAGTTGGGTCCTCAAGTTTTTTTCTGTCTTCAATTGGGTCATATTTTTTGTAAAAGTGAGCACATTTTGCCATAACCGTTAAGTGTTTTGAAACGGCGTTAAAATGGTGTGAGCTGGATTTTTCCATTTACGGACGTGGCATTGTGCATTAAAATTGACTGTTTGTTGTGTTTTTAAGAATCCACTATGCTACGAAGCCCAACATTTAAGGTGCATCTCCCATCTCATCCAAATTATATTCTCTCCTGTTGGAGATGATCGTGTTTCGTCTTGTGACCAAGCTGGTGTTCTTTACTCTTGGGCAGAGCACTTTGAGGAGTGTGTAAGGATGTCTCGTTCAATTCTTTCTCTTTGCCAATTTTGGGTTCCGGCCATCAAACTCAGTAGTGGCAGTGTTCGGAGCTTCGATGGAAACCCAAAATGGCCGTCTGGGGTCACAGTGCATTGTTTCGTACTGCGCGAGAACCCGCTAATTAACACGGGGAAAAAATTCTGGGGTTGCCCTACTTCAATCCAAGGTCATTTTGATATCACAATAAATCCTTATTCTATTTTATTTGGGTTTTGACGAAGGTGTGTGTGGTTGGGTGTTGACAGGGGTGGGAGTGAGAATTGGTTGTTGGCAACTTCTCAAGTGGTGCATTGACGAAGGAATGAAGGAAATTGGCTGAAAGTAGAAGACAGACTGATAGTGAAAGAACTGAAGAAGTGGGTGTGATGAGCATGAAGACCGTGTGTTGCAAATGGAAGCAACAATTGGTCCAAAGATCAGACTGGGTTGTATAGAGAAAATTTATTAGTTAGATAGTGGTTTAAATTGTTGGTGGGTGGGGAGGATCTTCTTTGTCATATTTGTTTTGAATGTAATTGTATTAGCAAATGTTGGTGACATTGGTTGATGCTGTGTCATCTGTGATCCGATTTCAAACTTGGGTTTTATGTAATGTGTTTTTTATTAATGTTATCAGACTTGAAACTTGGCTTTAATATGTAATGTTTGTTTTATATTAATGTTGGTGAGTTATTACAATATAATTTGTGCATTTAATTTCATTTAATTGTATTGTTACTTTAAAGTGAATAATGATAAAGAAATGAGCAATACAGTAATGAGAAATAAAGTGATGAGTGATAACAAAATTGGGCAGTAATCACTTTCCTGATAACCACAACATTTCAAAATGAATAACAACATTGTCTTACTATATCCAAAATACATCATACCTACATTTGAACAGACTTTGTTCAAATGATAGAGCAAACATTTGCTACAAAATATAAATTTAGGATCAGTAACATTAGATCATTTGGGGGGGAGGGTTGTG